TCCTGCCTTACTGTATCATTGTGTCCCCCTTTTGTGGGGCCAATACAAGTTGAAAATATAATCACCGGTAATTTCAATGGAAAAATATTTTATGTTTCTTGAGTCCCCCAACTGACACCCACTCATGCTAAAATACCAAATCTCATTAAGAGAAACACAACTACATCAATAATTAATATTGGCTATCATAAACACAAACTGAAGCCATTCTTTTCTTTACTAGTTATGATTAATTGCATTATTATTCTATGATATGACCATTTCTCTGTTGTTGCTTAGCTTTTATGCCCTAACATTTAAGATTAAATTTATAATAGGACACACATAAAAATGATACCCGATACGTATACAATTCAACCTTTATTTAAAAAAAAAAGAGTATAAAATCAATGAAAACCATGTTATTAGTTTTACCAGACAAGTTGAAATACAGCAGACAGGACATGTAAGATCACGCCTGCTGTATATAAGCAAAACAATGAGAAATCAGATGAGAGAACATAAGGTAACACACTAACTTTGTGAAGATGATGCATGCTGATTATCTTCTTTAGGTGCTAAGCAGCTCCAAGAAGGACACCCAAACAAATCCAGCCCAAAAGATGCAAAGAAACGACCTGGGTATCTGTTATCTTTTATTGTGAAACAAACCACTTCACAACTTATTGCTTTGACTTTAAAACGATGAAAATTATTTTTCACTGGTCTCTGGGTCCACTGGGAGTTTCTCCTGGTCTAGGCCAGCACAACTGGACTTAGATAGTCTACAATGGCCCGGCTCATATCTCTGGTGGTTGGCAGGCTAGTTGATCTAATGGGCCACACTCATAGATTTGGCAATTGGTTAGACGTCAGATGAGGTGTTGACCTTGTGTTTCTCATCACCCATCAGTCACCCAAGAGTTTTTCACAAGATGGTGGAAGAGTTCCCAGCACCAAGAGAGAGCAAGGTGCTTACCAGATTCACAAGCACTTTTTAAGAATCCCCTTGTGTCAGATTTGCTAATGTCCCATAGAACAAAGCAAGCCTCGAATCAAAGAATGGGGAGAGACTATACCTGTTGATGGGAGAAGCTGAAAAATACCAAGGCTATTCTCTTCAATCTACTATACCTTGGAAGCCAAAATAGAGAGATAGAATGATATTTCCTTTAACTAGAATGGATGATTATCTCAGGGTTGAAACATATTTCTACGGGGAGGACTTTTCTGTTTTAACTACCAAGGTCATCTAGTAAGGCTGCCCTCTTGGGTCTGCTACTACACCTGAGGCGAAGAGATGAAACCAAAGAGGTAGGCAGAGGTTAGGGCTCTGTAGGTTACATGAAGGAATTTCAGTCTTGATCCCAAGAGCAATGGGAAGCCGTAGAGCACTTTAAGTAGAGATAAGATCACTTGGGCTGCAGTGAGGACAGTAATTCTAGAAGCTTTTCCAGGAAGGGGAATAGTGAGATAAGCCTTTAGTCATAGAACATGGGGTCAAGGGAAAGGGTTGGTTTTTTGTTTTTTTGTTTTGTTTTGTTTTTCTAAAGCAAAAGATGGTTGAAACTAGAGCTCGATTGAATACTGTTGGAAGAATCCAGTATTCAAGAGGTGAGAGGGAGAGCCCTGGGTATTGGGAAGGGAAACTCGAGCATGCATGCAATGTTTGGCTTTTAAAAATCATACAATAAAATTGACTATATTTTTTATATAGTTTCTATTTTCTATTGTATAGTTTAACACATCCATAGATTCACACAACTGCCACCAAAATCAGGATAGAGTATTTCCATCTTCCCAAACCCTCCTTTTTGCTGTCCCTTTATTATTTTATTTGAGAGACTGAGTGAGAGAGAGAGAGCTGGGAAGAGAGGAGAGAGAGAAAGAGGGAGAGAATCTTAAGCAGGCCCCATGTTGAGCGTGGAGCCCAAGTTGGGGCTCGATCCAATGTCTCTGGGATCATAGCCTGAGCTGAAACCAAGAATTGGACACTCAACCGAGACACCCTGGTGCCCTTTGTTGTCCCTTTATAATTAATTACTCCTCTGCCCCTAATTCCTGGCAACCACTGACTTATTCTCCACCCCATATGTTTATCTTTCAAGAGCATCATTTTGAGACTAGCTTCTTTCTTTCAACATAATGCCTTTATCATTAGTTGTTATAATGCCAAGTTGTTTGGTAGATCAACACCTCACCCTTTTTTTTTTTTTTTATTGCTGAGTACTATCCCATTGGGGTCAGCTTCTGATAGCATTCCTCAGGTCAGAAAATGGTTTCACTATTCTACCAGTTATTGGGCCAAAAACCTTGGTTTCATCCTTGATTCTCTTCTCCAACCTACATATCCAATCCATCAGTAAATCCTGGTGGCTTTACTTTCAGAATAGACCTGGAATTTAACTACTTACCAGTTTCTTTGCTGTCATCTAGTTCAGGCCACCATCATGCTCTGCCAGGACTAGTGCTTCCACTCTTACCCCTCCACCCTCAGTCTATTCTCCACACAACAGCTAGAATGAGACTTTTAGAGACTTAAATCTGATCAAGCCACTCTTCTACTCAACTCTCCAGTGGTTTCAATGTTAACAACCCAAAGTTGTCACCATGGCCTAAAAGGCCCTGCCTGATTGGGCCCCTGGCTACCTCTCAGATCTCTTTTCCTGCCACTCTTCCCCTCACTCATTCTGTACCAGTTATAGGGGTCTTCTTGCTATTCTGTTAGCAAGTCAAGTATGCTCCTGCCTCAGAGTGTTTGAATCTTCTGTCTCCTCTGTCTGGAACATTCCTTTTCTAGGTATCTACAAGTCAACTCCAGTTTCTGCTAATCAGTCCTTCTCTGACTGACATCTAAAATAGCAGCTACCTGATACCACTGTCTAACCCTTTCTCTGTTTTGTTCTTCATATAGCACACATATATTTGTTTTTCTGTCTTTCAACACTAGAATAATCTTTTAGGACGAGGGATTTTTGTGTTCACCACTTAACAAACACCTAGAGAGGTGCCTTGCCTGGCATATAGTGGTAGTTCAACGAATATTTTTTATTTAATTCGTTATAGGAGGAAGAGACAGAATAGGAACACATGTAGACTTCAGGATTTTAGGGCATTCTGCATTTATTTCATCTTATTTTAATTCCAGTATAATTAACATACAGTATTACTTTCAGGTGTACAATATAGTGACTCAACAATTCCATACATCACCCAGTGCCCATCATGACAAGTGCCCTCCTTAATCCTCATCATCTGTATCATCCATCCCCTCCTGCGCCCCCCCTCCCCCGTTAGCATCAGTTTGTTCTCTATAGTTAAAAGTCTGTTTCTTGGTTTGTGTCCCTTTTGTTCCCTTTTACTTTTGTTTTGTTTCTTAAATTCCACATATGAGTGAAATTATATTGTATGTCTTCCTTTGCCTGACTTATTTCACTTAGCATCATACTCTCTAGTTTATCCACATCGTTGCAAATGGCAAGATTTTGTTCTCTATTATGGCTGAATAATATTCCATTGTGTGTGTGTGTGTGTGTACATATACCACATCTTCTTTATCTGTTCATCTATCAATGGACACTTGGGCTGTTTTCATAAATCGGCTATTGTAAACAATGCGGCAATAAACATAGGGATGCATGTATTACTTTTAATTAGTGTTTCTGTATTTTGGTGTAGAAGACATTCTACACTTTGTTACTTATACAGTAAGATAATCAGGGGAAGGTGTATGGGAAGTGTAGGGCTACAGATTTGCAAAGATAGTGGGCAGCAAATTAACTAGAAAAATATTATAATGAAATTTCCAGGCACTAAAAAATTTCAGAGCCCATTTATGGTTGAAATTAATAAGCTAGTAATGCCAGTCTGTTCAGCAGGACAATTTTCTATGACCTACTGCAGGAATACAGAGGCATGTGGGTCCATCTAGGGTGGAGGGCTTAGTTGGAGAAAAAGGGCGTGGCAGGCAACTTCAGGAGTAAGAGCCAGATTGTAACGGTATATCCTTGTATCTAAGACGCCTAAGAAGGGAAATGAAGAATGCAGACTACGGGGAGGCTTTCAACCTATTCGAGGTACCGATAAAGTGAAAAAAGTTCTGAACAAGTTTTTCAGCAGTCAAGGTGAAAGGACATCAGGCTGCAACTGGACAGAGGATGTTCCAATTACTAATTTGTGATACGATAACGTTTCTGGTGACAAGGTCCATGGTTTTGACTGAGATTGGGAGGCTGATGTAAGGGTCAATAAAGATGAGGCCCAGGTAGTAACAGGTAGTTTGACTTAAATGGTCAAGATGGAAGATAGAGGAGAGCAAGTTAAAACACGAGCTGGATGCACAAATAAACATGATTTCTTAGAGACGGTTATATAGGTGGCAAAGTCTTAAGAGTAAGTGTCCGCAAAGCAAAGGTTTTTACAAGAGGTGACCGTATTCCGCACATAGCATCCCCCCCTTTTTGAACCTGCGAAGTGAGACTACTAGTTCATGTGAGGGGGTTCCAGAGGATGCAGTATTCTCCGAAGACAACCAGGTCTCAGTCCAAGACGTTCAGAGAAAACTCATGTGGAAGCGGAAATCTCAGGGGAAAATCGGTTTGAAAGCAGGTGGTAGGGAAGGGGACGGAAAGCAGAATAAAAACACGGACACCTTTCGTCCTTTATTTACCTTCCTACCAACCTGACGCCGCGCCACAATCTCCGCGAACAGAAAACAGGCAGAGAAGAGGGAACGCAGACCTGCTCTTTTCAACTCCGCGCGGAAGCCCCCACACCGGAACGCCGTGGGACCTGCGCTTTCCCATTGGCGGAACCTTCCGCCAGCTTCAATCCGGTTCCGCCAACCACTCAGTCGGGCGGGGCCGTCCCTAGAAGTCACTTCCGCTCGACCCCGCCCCTCGTTCCCCTTTTGGCTCCTTCCGGCTTCAGGCCCCGCCCCATCCTTGTGGCCCCGCCCCGGCCCCGCCCCGGGCTCGCGGCCCCGGCCCCGCGGCGCCGCTTCCGGTGCGGGCCCCGCCCCGGCTGTGGCCCCCGGCTGCGGAGGAGTCCGAGACGCAGCTGCTGCGCCGGGGCCTCAGCGGCCGCTTTCACCCCGCTGCCGGACCCCGAGCGCTCCGCACAGGTAAGCCGCGTGCGGCCCGGCTCCCTCAGTCACGCGGGAGCGGGGGCTGTGGCAGGTGGAGGGACGCGAGGGGTGCGAGGGGAGGCAGGTGTGTGGGGGGAGACGCGAAGGCGCGGGCGGGCGGAGCGCGGGGGCCGCGGAGGCAAAGTGAGAGCGCTGGGAGGAGACCCGAGGCGCCCTGCAACCATTAGGGTGATTTGAGATAAAGAGATGGGAAGAGTAAGGGCCCCCCGGGAACTGAGGGCGACGATAGGTGGGGTTGGGGCGATCGAAGAAGAGCCAGCGGATTGGCTGGGAGGGCTTGGTAGAGGTAAAAGTGATAGGGCTGGATTGGGGGGCATAATGAAGGGGGGTGGGGGAACCAAGGGAAGGAGGTGTGGGGCGTGAAGGGGCCGGGGCCAGAGGGATCCGGCAACTAAGGTAGCGGGAATGGTAGGGGAGGCCGGGTTCAAAGCTGCAAGCGATCCGTTGCGCCGGGCTTGGTGGTCCGGGAACTTTAGGGGAAATGGGGGAGGGGGCCGTGTGAAGGGATGAACTGGCTTAGATTTCTGAGACACAAGTTTTCTAAATGCAGGCAGGTGGCATTGTTGTTTGGATCTTTCTGCTTAGGGACAGGGGGTCGACGGGCTCTTTGGGGGAGGGTGTGTGTATTGAGTTGTGGAACTGAGTCATTTCAGTCTTACTAAAGAGGCTGTGCGACACCTCCCCGTCTGCTGGGGACAGTATACTGAGAAGATGGTGCCACAGGACAAGAAGCAGTTATTCAGTGACTGGCAGGACTCAGTCGAGAAATTATTCCTCTTGTGATTGACTTAAATGATGATAAGGAAAATTAAAACGACCACCGAATTATTTGCTTTATTCTTTCGTTTATTTATTTTTTTTTTTTTTGACGCCAGTTGTTTTTTTCCTAAGTGAATACTTTTGCCAACTGGATTTAATGTGGGTGTAAATCTTTTCATGTTGTTACACTATAAAAAGGGCTAAAGCTGCAGGCGCAACTCACACTTTCTCAAGTGCCAAGAGAGGAAGTAAAGGCAGTAAGAGGCAAATTGGAATTTGAATCTTTCACAAAATACAAAAGGCAAAAGCAGTGCTTCTCAGATAAACGGGAAAATGAGAATTCTTATCTGCTTTTTTGGTCTAGCTTTAAAAATTGTACCTTTTCCCACTAACTCGTTAAAAAATTAGAAATTCAAAGAGTTTTTACTGCTAGGGATGTGATTACTTACTTCTCCATGAATTTTTGAAGATGCTGAAGGCATTTAGGTTTTTTTTAATCTTTATACTCAGCTCGAATACAGTGAAACAATGCAAATATCAAGTCCCAACCTGTGTACCAGCTTCTTTCATGTGACGACAACATTGTACTCCATGTTGAAAATCCTGTTCACCTAAAATTTGCCTGAGCATAGTAATCTATTCAATTATGGGGAGACATAACTCATATGAGGTTTGTGGGGGGTGGAGATCTGGAGAGGAGGAAGAGAAAGAGGGAGCTAGCGGAGAAGAGGGATGTGTTTGGAGACTGGTAAGAATGCTGATAAACCTGCCCCCTGAGTACTTATGGCCTGAAAGCCTTTTCTTTTTGGTATTTGTCATAGAATATCATAGTAGAAGTGAATCCAAAAGAAAAGGGTTGTGAAGAGATTTCCTTGGCCGCTTATAAAAAAAAAAAAAAAAGAAGCATTAACTTGTTGTTTGGACAATATTGATATCTGTTTCAATTTAATTAACTTTAAAATCTCCAGGGGAATTCCTCTACTGTTTGTTTTTTGAATGACCACTGCAATTTGAAACTCTTGCCTCCTTGCGTATTTCTTTCATGTTGTTGAAATTGGATTCTTTTTGAGGCCATAATGTACAGTTAACATGGCTCAGCCCCCTTGAGAAGCAGGCTGGCAATTTGATCTGGGAAATTTGAAAAGTCTAAACGTAAGAGCCGTTTGCTACGTTCTGCTTTTATACGAGAGAACTCATTCCGTCTGCTTGATTGCTCTGTGTTTAGCTTGGATGGTACTTTCTTTCTCCCATGGGCCTGGGAACGTAAACAGAGTTCTCTCAGGACCTTCTTTCCTTTATTCTTGTGGTTTCGTACTCACAGCCTTTGTGCAATGCAAACCCAGTTGCCTTTTCACTAATAAACTGGCTAATGTTCGATAATGTTCGAGAGAGAAAGATCAGAACACAGAAGTTCACAGGCTAGATATTGTCTGGATTTACTTCTTTTTAGATCCACGGTAGTCCACCACTGCTGAGATGCATCCCGTATTTCCTCTCTTAAATCCAGTTCTTCTTCACTCCATCCCTTCCCACCCCCCTCCCCCCAACTCCCCTATTCTCTTTTTTTAATTTTTATTTATTTTTAATTTTTTTAATGTTTATTTTTATTATTGAGAGACAGAGAGAGAAGAGCATGAGCATGGGAGGGACAGAGAGAGGGGGAGACACAGAATCCAAAGCAGGCTCCAGGCTCTGAGCTGTTAGCACAGAGCCTGATGCGAGGCTTGAACTCACGAGCGGTGAGATCATGACCTGAGCCGAAGTTGGACGCTCAACTGACTGAGCCACCCAGGCTCCTCGTTCCTCTTAAAACCCAGGCTTAGGAGTATATATTTAGTGTTCAGAACTCACACCCTTTACTGGAAAAAAGAAAGTCTTTTAATACCTGTTATACGTTCTTTCCCCCCTTGTTTCTCCTTCTTTGTGGTTTCTGTTAATCACTTAAGGTTCGGACCCAGTGTGCCCGCTGGGCTGTGCCCAGGTTCAGAGTCATGCCAATTGGTGGGTGAACCTTGAGGCAGTGATGGAGCCACTGCAGCAACAGAAGCAGCCACCGCCGCCTCCTCCACCGCCGCCCCCACCCCCACACCTGGCTCCGCTGCAGATGGACGCCAGAGAGAAGCAGGGACAGCAGATGAGGGAAGCCCCATTCTTATACACCCAGAAGCTGGTCACACAGCAGAGTCTCCTTTCTGCACCCCCTGGAAGGTCTTCTGGCAGCCCTGCCCTGGGCCCCCTGGCCAGAATTCCACCAGCCACAGCCACAGCCCGAGCGTTTGAACGGAGCAACGTGAACTCAGAGCCTGAGGAAGAGGAAGGGGGTCTGGAAGATGAGGAGGGGGATGATGAAGTTGCCGAGGTGGCTGAGAAAGAGGCCCAGGCTCCTTCAAAGTATTTTCATGTGCAGAAAGTAGTTCGCCAGGACCCCCGAGCGGCACCTGTTTCTGCCCTGCTTCCGGCACCCGGGCTTCCGCTGCGTGGACAGCAAGCAAAAGAAGACCATACCAAAGATGCTTGCAAGGCTCCACCTTCGGTCTCCACAGTGGGACAGCCGAGCTGGAATCTGGATGAGCAGCTCAAGCAGGTGAGTCTCTGTGGTACAGGGGGTCATTTGTTCCTCCTAAAGGCTGGCAGAGAGGGGTACCGCGGGGGCCAGGTCTCTGCCGGTCTATGCCTTCTCACCCCACTTCGGTGACCCAGCGGTCTCACTGTAAGTAGACTCTGAATTGTTTTTCTCATGCTTGTGTCTTTGAAATGGGCAAGTTACTCCTCATATAGTTTTGCGTTGGATGTGAAAGAATGTCAGTACAGTCTCTCTTTAGAAGGGAAGGATGAGGTTGCAACAGTGGTATGAAGGTCATCTAAAAATGCGACGCGTGACTCTCATTACAGTTTTTGTACTTTAGGAAAAGAACAATAATCTTGCCTAAGACCGTTTCTTAGCCCCAGGCTAACCCAGGATCATACTCTTTAAGGACAGTTTTGTTGTTTTTGCAGTTCAGTACCGCTGAGAAGAAACACTTCTGTTTTGTATGTTTTCCAACAAAGAGTATTGTAGACACGATTTTGTTTCACCCTTACACCACCCCCTTTGAAACAGGAAGAGGTAGACCTCAAAATTCCAATTTTAGCCAAGGTAAGCTGAAGTGATTTTCAAGGGGTGTTTGAGACAGGGGTAGGGGCAGAGAGGGAGAGAGAGAGAACCCCAAGTAGGCTCCACGCTCAGCACAGAGCTGGACATGGGGCTTGATCTCACAACCGCAAGATCATGACTTGAGCCGAAATCAAGAGTCAGACACTTAACCGTCTGAACCACCCAGGTGCCCCAAGCGCAAGTGATCTTCAAACATGACTGAGCACCACAGTCATCCTGTAAGCTTTAAAAAATACAGTTCCCAGGGTCTTAAAGAATTATATTTGGGAGGACGTCTGGGTGGCCGAGTCAGTTAAGTGTCTGACTCTTGATTTTGGCTCAGGTCACGCATGGTCTCACGGTTTGTGAATTCCAGCCCTGAGTCGGGCGCTGTGCTGGCAGCGCAGAGCCTGCTTGGGATTTTCTGCTCCTTTTCTCTCCTCGTTCTCTGCCTCTCCCCCTGCTTGCCTGCACTCCCTCTGTCTTTCAAAATAAATAAACATTAAAAATAAAAAGGAACTCTCTTTGGGTAAAGCCTAAGGAATCTGTGTTCTCAGCCAAGCCTTTAACTTCTAATTCCTCTTCTCTTCCTGACCTACAGTGCAGTTTTTCCTCACCCCCAGAAAGGGAGTGTTGATGGATCGTTCCAGGTTCAGTGACTTGTTGGTGCTTAGACAGGGAGTTCGTCGTGATCAAAGCCAGTAATATCTGGGTACTCCCCACAAGTGCATGCTCTTCATGTGGCCCCGTGGTGCTCTTTGGAAATGAGTTATAAAGAGCTGTGGGGGTTCACAGGGCAACTGAGAAGTCCCGTAAGAAAGGGCCTTTGGAACCTGAGAAATCGGCGGCTTTGAACCAGGGAGCCCTGTATAGCTGGTCTGCGCTTTACCACAGCAGTGTCTCAGTAGATTCCAGAGCCTGCAAGGTGGGGTTCAGTTCCACTTGTTACCCCTGTGATCCTTTAGTAGGGCTCTCAGTCTGTGAGCCTGTGTCCTTTCATCTGTGCAGTGCAAGCAGGCATACCTCCTGAGGGCGGTGTGAGGATGGACTGAGCCAGCTAGTCGGAGGGCTCTGGGCGCTCGCCTGCCCACGGAGCGCCACCCCCCACCGCAGCCACCGGGGGCCCTGGAGCAGGCAAGAGGTCCAGGTGCCCCAGGTGTTCCCTCAGATCCCCGGGAGGGAGGGAGTGGCGGGGGCCGGGCTGGGGCTCAGAGAGTCCCCGCTTCCAGGACAGCAGCCAGGTGGCCGCCAGCCCAGACCCACCTCCTGGCCAATCGCTTTGGTTTAGCAAAACAGCTGTGAGCCGCCGCAGCCCCCGCGCGGCCTGGCTGCTGGCAGAGTTCCCTGCCGGCCGCTGACTCCCGCTGACTCAGCTCGAGCCGGCAGCCCGCCCTGCCTGCACTGGGAAAGTGCAGGCCCGAGGCGGCGGGGCTGCCCCTGCCTTGGCAGCTGGCCAGCCCCTGCGTGTGTGCGGTCGTTCCTAGAAAGTGCAGCCGCGTGCGAGGAACAAGTGGAGCTCCAGAGCCTGTCTGTCTTCAGGAAGTGTAGCAGGTGTTGAGGTCAAGCCATTAGAGCTTTGAAAAAAGAGACTCTTCCGAGCCAGCGTGTGCACACACACACGGATGCCCGGTGGCAGGCACCCGGCGCCGTGCTCTGGGCGGGGCGGCCCCAAGCCCACACAGCTCAGTGCTCGGGGTCTGGCTATTGGTCTCGAAACCCTTTTGAGTTCATTTGAAGTTTCTGAGACATCCGCACTAATTATGGACTGCCTGGCAGAGAGCACCTGCCAGAATGTTTTACAAACGGCAGTATAGCCAAGGCCTAATGTCGCACCCTGAATTTCCCGTCCCTTCCCCTTGGAGTTGGAGACCAAGAACTGGCGAGGGAAAAGCTCAGATGCACACCTTTTCCTTTCGAGTTTAATTTTAGAAAATTGCTTCGGTCTGTGCCCTCCTCCTCTGTCTAATCCTGCCTTTAAATACATCTTTTTTTAAGATTTATTTATTTTTGAGAGAGACAGGGTATGAGTAGGGGAGGGAGAGAGAGAGAGGGAGCATCCGAAGAGAGGGAGAATCCGAAGCAGGCTCCAGGACTTGAGCTCACAAACAGCCAAGATCATGCCCTGAGCCGAAGTCGGATGCTTAACCTACTGAGCCACCTGGGGGCTCCTATTCTTGCCTTTAAAGAAGTAAATAATGTGCTTGGGATTGAAAAAACTTTTTAAAAAAGTTTTGCTTAGAACAGGAGTGCTGAAAAACTATCCTTGAGGAGAGCCTGTAGGAGCCATCACAGAGCATGAAACTAGCTTCTTTATTGTTCAGTCTTCTGTTTCTGATGTAGTTTACTTGTAGAGAGCAGGAATTGGGCATCCCCTGCTCCAGCAGCAGTTACAGAGATGTTCTACAGGTAACACAAAATGATCTTATTATTAATGCGTTGCAGTAGCCATTTTGTTCTTTTACACAACAGACTTTTACTTCTTTGGGGGGACGGACTGAGCTCCATGGACTCCATGTCCCTCTCAGGACGCTCACAGTCTAAGCAGAGGCCGTGTTGAAACCTCTGGGAGGTCTGGGTCTTGGGTGGCAGTAATTTCACTCTGTCCTAAGTCAGCCAGAGCCCAGCTGCCCAGTCTTAGCGAGGCTGCAGATACTTTAAAGCGAGGTTTTGTTTCAGACATTCACACCCGAAGGTAAAAAAGTTAATTTTGACAACAGCATAGCTAGCACAGCTTGGGAAACCAGCAGGAGCACGCAAGTCTCTTACAAGACTTTGGGGGCTTGGGCTGGCAGGCATCTTGCAGGCCAAAAGCAGAATTTAAAAAGCCCGAGGACTCCACAGATTATCTTTTGTTCTATAGTCCCTTTCTTAGAACATGTGAAGTCAAAATAATTTAATGGATTCTCCTTAAAGAAACTCTTAGAAAAGAATTGCTTCTTAAGGCCTGGATCGTTAGACAGATGTAGTTTTCTCTGACCCCGGAGTGATGGGAAGATGGATAATGCCATTGAACCAAGCATTCTAAAGCCCATCAGATTTCAACGAGCAGAGTAAATAATTGTAAAACAAGGCAGCAGACAAAGAGCTGAGTGTCCCTTCTCTCAAGGGAGATCAGTAGAGCCCTGTCAGCATACAACCAAGTGGGGGCTGTTGCTGGCCTATTAGGGGTGGTCTGTCCTCCTGGGAAGAGGGTAGTTCAGGCAATACAGGCTTTGTCTGTCTTGAGCCTGTTAGTGGAGCCAGGAGTTTTCCAGAAGAGTGTAGACTCCCTCCCAGAGAATAGAAAGATGAGCAATGGCTTGATAGGCGTGGGGGAGCCGAAGTGTATGGGTCTGATTTTCGGCCTCCTTTGGCGGTAACCCCGGTTACCAGTGTGGGAAGGACGAAGGATGGCTGAGTGCTTGGTCTCCAGAATCTGTTACTAAGAGTTCCTTTAAGTAGTAAGGAGCCATTTCTTGGGCTAGGCCTCTTTTTCTCAGGACATGCCTGCATGTCTTTGGAACATTTGATGTTTTTTGTAAAGACTGTGCAAACTCTTGCCTGAAAAACAAATAAGGTCATAAGCTTTCCTCACTTTCTTGGTAGGTCTGTCTTGTGTGCCCTTAGCTTCTGCCATCACAGTGGAATCCAACCAGTGGTTCTGAATTGAGGTCAGTCTTCCCCTACCCCGCTCCCAGAGGTTGTTGGGCATCAGGAGACATGTTTTGGTTGTCGGGACTGGGGTGGGGGAGATGTGCTACTGGCATATAGGGAGTAGGGGCCCTACTGCTAAACATCCCGTACTGCACACAGCGAAGAATTACCTGGTCCCAAATGTCACTGGTACCATATTGAGAAACCCTGCTTTATGGTGTGTGATTGGAAACAATGTACGCAGAGCCTTCCTCAGACGCCACCCTACACCCTGTTTCTTTGTGTTTTGGTCTTGGTCACTGAAGAGTTTGTCAACCTAAAGTTTTTGTCACTTCTACTTGCCATATCTGTGTTGAGTTCATGTCTTTCCCCATAGTCACCTGGGTGGCCAAACTGTCACTTAGGAGAGGATTGAGACCTAGAACTTGTACTGTCTGGTTTGTTTCTACCAGGGGGCTTCCAGCCTAGCGTTCCATGATGTCTAAAAATGTCTGTGGTGATTTGTGAGACAGCTTGGTTGCCCTTTTGTACATTAACCCCAAAAGGGTAAGGCATATGTACTGAGCAAACTTGTTCATTCGTAGCAGATTTAATTAGTAAATGAGCATTGGTTTTAGAGACAGAAGATGTGGCTTTAGATCCTAGCTTCACTGCTTGCTTGGGACAGGTGTCCTAGCCTCTCGCTCTGAACCTGTACACACATGTGTCTGTCCCACAGGATGGTAATCCTCTCCCACCGTGTTCAGTGAGCAGTTGTACAGATATTACCAAGGTGGGCAAAGATTAGACATGTGAAAGATCTTTGTAAAATTTATACC